GATGCATGGAGGGGATTGGAACCATGGCAATGAGATGATATACGATGGAATGAATGTAAAACTAAAGTTCCCCCATGTAAACTATCATGTAATTCACAATAAAATATTTTTTTAAAAAAATGATATGAACACATAAAGATGGATATCCTCGGCATTAGTAGTTAGTAGTAGTAGTAGTCAGGTGCCATCAAGTCAGTACCGACTCATAGTGACCCTATACTATGACCCAACAGAACAAAACATTGCCCGGTCCTGGGCCAATGTCACAATTATTGCTATGCTTGAGCTCATCGCTGCCGCCATTTCATCTCATTGTGGGTCTTTCTCTCTTTCTCCGACACTCCACTTTACCAAACATGGTATCCTTCTCCAGTGACTTATCCCTCCTGACATCATGTCCGAAGTATGAGAAGACGATGTCTGGCCATCCTGGCTTCCAAGGAGCACTTTGACTGCACTTCTCCCAACAGAGATCTGTGTGTTATTTTGAAAGTCCATGGTACTTATTAATATTCTTCTCCAACACCATAATTCAAATACATCACTTCTTCTATGGTCTTTCTTATTCATTGTCCAACTTTCGCATGCATATGACGTTACTGAAAACACCATGGCTTGGGTCAGGAACACCATAGTCTTTAAACTGACATCTTTGCTCTTCAACACTTTAAAAAGGTCTTGTACAGCAAACATGCCTAATGCAATATGTTGTTTGATTTCTTGACTGCTGCTTCCATGAATGTTGATGATTGATCCAAGCAAAATAAAGTCTTTGACAACGTCAATCTTTTCTCCATTTTTATGGATGTTTTTTATTGGTCTGGTAATAAGGATTTTTGTTTTCTTTACATTGAGGTTCAACCCATACTAAAGTCTGTGGTCTCTGATCTTCATCAGCATTTTAAGTCCTCTTCACTTCCAACAAGTAAGGTTGTCTTGTCTCATCTACATAGCACAGGTTGTTAATGAGTCTTCCTCCAATCCTGATACCACATTTTTCTTCACAGAATCCAGTTTCTCAGATTATTTGCTCAGCATACAGACTGAATAAATATGGTGAAAGAATACAACCTTGGCACACAGCTTTCCTAATTTTAAACCATTTGGTGTTCCCTTGTTCTGTTCAAACAATTGCCTCGTGGTCTATGCACAGGTTCCTCATGAGCACAATTAAGTGTTCCGTAATACTCATACTTTGCAACCTTGTCCATAGCTTGTCATGATCTGTGGGTTAATGTGCTGGACTGCAAAGTCAGTTTGAACTGCAAGGTCAGCAGTTCAAGCTCAACCAGCTGCTCCTAGGAAACCCTATACAGGGTCACTATGGGTCAGAACTGACTCAATGGCATTGAACAACAATGACAACCCCTATATCACATACTTTATTTACATTATAAGCAAGCTAGCCAATCCCCTTGGTGGGCCGCAAGCACCTCATATTTTCATAGTCCTGCCCAATTATTTAGGG